ACCGAAATCCACGGATTCTTTCTAGCCTTATGGTTTACCTTGCTGGCAGATATCATTGCTGTTTCCACAGCCTTTTTGATGTCATTCCAACCTGCCTCCGGATTGGAGTCACTTACATGCTCGCCTATCTTTCTAGTTGTTCCTGAAATATATTCAAAGCTCCGCTGTGCTGTGTCTTTCTTTCATCCGGTAAGTCGCAGACAAATACGCGCTCGCACTGGAGCATGAATTACTTACTTACTTACTCTTGTTACCACCAATCGAGCATAGGCAGACCACCAGTTTTCTCTAACCAACTCTGTCCTGGGCTTCCTTCTCCAGCTCTGTCAAATGTTTGTTCATTCCTCCCATACCTTTCTCTATTTATTCAGCGTAGTGTGTTCTTTAGCCTTCCTCTTTTCCTGTTGCCTTGAGGGTTCCAAGTGAGGGCTTGTCTTGTGACGCAGTGAGGTGCTTTCCGCAATGTGTGTCATATCCACTTCCACCGCTTCTTCCTGATTTCCTCCTCCACTGGAATCTGGTTTGTTTTCGCCCACAGTTCGTTGTTGCTGATGGTGTCTGGCCAGCGAATACGAATTATTTTGCGTAGAAAACTGTTCATAAACACTTGTATCTTCAGGATGATGGCTTTCGTAGTTCTCCAAGTTTCCGCTCCATACAGTAGAACTTTCTTGACATTTGTATTGAAAATCGTGATTTTGGTTTTGTTTGAAAGTTGTTTGGAGTTTCAGTTATTTTTCAACTGTAGAAATGCAGCACTTGCTTTGCCGATCCATGCCCTCACATCTGCATCGGATCCACCATGGTTGTCGATGATGCTGCCCAGATGTGTAAAGGTGTTAATGTCCTCCAAGGCATCTCCATCAAGACTGATTTGATTGGTGCATGTTGTGTTGCATCGGAGAATTTTGCTCTTTCCTTTATGTATGTTGAGACCTACTGCTGCAGAGGCTGCTGCTACACTGGTCGTCTTCTCTTGCATTTGTTGTTGAGTGTGCGATAGAAGAGCCAAGTCATCTGCGAAGTCCAGATCGTCCAGCTGCGTCCTAAGTGTCCAGTTGATACCGTGCTTCCCTCCAGATGTTGACGTTTTCATAATCCAGTCGATCACCAGGAGAAAGAGAAAGGGTGAGAGTAAGCAACCTTGTTTGACACCGGTCTTCACCTCGAAAGAGTTTGTTAGCTGTCCTCCGTGTACGATTTTGCAGCTGAATCCATCATAAGAATTCCGTATGATGTTGACTATTTTCTCAGGCACGCCGCAGTGTCGAAGAAGAGTCCACAGTGTTTTCCTATCCACGCTATCGAATGCCCTCTCGTAGTCGATGAAGTTGATGTAGAGTGGTGAGTTCCATTCAATTGATTGTTCCACAATGTAGCAATTTGGTCAGTACACGATCGATCCTTACGAAATCTGGCCTGTTGATCTCGAAGTTGAGCGTCTACGAAGTCCTTCATTCTGTTTATCAATACCCTGTTGAAGACTTTGCCTGGACTAGAGCATGACGTTAATCTACAAATGTGGCACAGAACGAGCGACGGTCCTCTATCGATCCTCTCCATCGGTGGCTGATGGCAATGTCATCTAGTTGAGTCCAGCATTGTGACGACTTTGGGGGTCACCAAGTCAAAAGATGTTTTTCCTTAGGCGCAAAGTTAGTGTGTGCCGAAAATAGGCGGTTTTCTGGGCACAGTCGCAACAGACGGTCGCCATTGTCTGTTCTCTGAGCCGCGACACCATAAGATCCACCCAGGTATCTTTCCTGCTCACTCAGTCTACCTACTTGAGCATTGAAGTCACCAGCCATTATTACTATATCAGAGAGCTTAGCTTTTAGGAGGAGGTCCGAAAGCTTTCTGTATAACTCATCTTTCGCCTTTCCGATACGCAGCATACATGGATTGAGCGGGATTCTAATGTCCTGGCTAAGGAAGGCAGTAGCCCTATTTGACACAATGTTCGTACAATACATGCTCCAACATGTAATTTAGAACGAGACTCCAGGAGACCAGAAATGATTTTTCGTAAACTCGCATCGTCTGCATTAGCTGTGCAGTGTGATAAAGGAATGTGAGAACAGTTAGTCGTAGAGATAAGAGAGATATTAGAGGGTATAAGAAGGATTTGATTTTGACCAATTTGGTCTCGTGTGCTGTTACAGGTATGAGAGCGGTTGTCACTTCCCGGCTGCCCACGCCGTGGAAGGGTGTTTCTTGAGGAACCTCAAAAAGAAGGTATATTAGTGTTGGTCTTAGAGACCTTTGAGCGTGTCCGCAAAGCCCAGGGGATAACAGCTTGAGGCCGGTCACGCAAGGTCTTTTTATGAGAGGTTTTTTGAGTGTTAGCTTTGCTCTTTTTAAAAGCCCTTATTGGGCAGCCCTTACCGCCGGAGACGGAAATCCGTGAGGTAGGATGAGGTGTGACATTTTTAGGGTCGACCTTTTCTAACACTTTCTTGTGAGAAGGCAGAAGCATAGCTGCATGTGCTTGTTGTTCGAGGGAAACACCTTACTGCCATCACACCCCTCTGCAGTCAGCAGTACGACTTCGCCTTCAGACCTTTGGTAGCTGCCTTTAGTCTCATCGTCCTACAATCGACCTGCCTTGCATGGTAGGACCTACAGGAACATATGTTGCAGCCAATATAGCTTGGCTGGATTGTCACGATAAGCGAGCCTGACCACCACTTCAAGGTAGCGGCTACGCCAGGAAATTCTATGATGTCATTAGCATTAGAATTTTCTCATTATTATACTTCAGATTGCAACAAACTGATATCCAGCATTGTTATTTGGTAGTTGCTGGTATCCCCAGAGATAAACCCATCCACTCATATTATAGGACACGAAAGTTCATAAATTACTGCAAACTGACTGGAATTATTGCAGTCCCTTGGCTAGACTACCATCTGGTGGATATTACTAAATACCTGGAACAAGAAGCGATCGTAAAGAAATCATTTGGCTTATACTAGCTAATTAAAAAACATATTGGTTACTGGATAAAGCGCTGACTTTCTTTCATTTACGGGAAACAATCCATTTTCGGGATACTTTATCACCCCCGAAGCAATGAAAAGTTGTCTACATTCATTGGTCAACAATCTGAAAACAAATTCGGGCAAACGGAACCATTCCAAGTCAGAACCATTGTACGGTAGGTCTAGCTGCCTCATTCAACTGCTCTTTTTCTAGTTGCTTCGGCAGTATACATACATTCACTCACTGACAAACTCAGGACTTGTGGAAAAGTTAATAGATACACGCAAAGTTACTTACTAATACGGTCAGAGGTATAGTTGCAATTTTAGAGTACTTTCAGACTCTATTCCTTGTAGTTATATTATATACTACTAAATTCTTGTTTCCTAGATCCAAGGGGAAGGAAGGAAACAGAGATGATAGGTGAGTTAGATTAAGTAAGTGATATGAGGAGATGGAAATCATAACAACTAGCAGGTCTCAAGATATGCATCATGAACAGCTTGTCCAAGAGAGAGATGATAATCCGATGATATTCCTGATTTCTAACAGCTAACCCCTTAGTCCTCTAACGTTGCTATAGAGGAACTTGGTGGTTTGTCTCAGCATCTGGTGCGATTCTGCAGCACCAGTCGCTGTCGGATTTTTAAAGAAGTTATTCAAACCAAATCGGCCATTTCTGTGGGAACTGGCTTCTGCAGGTCTTTTGCCTGCGCGGTTGGTTCAATTGTGTCTTGTGCCAGGGGTAGTTGACCGAGGTTAACTATCAGTTTTGTGCGTTCATTTTGGCCTCCCTGCTGTTGTCTCACAGATCTAGGTCGGCTTTCGCAACACCTGATGTGGCTAGACAGATCGTTCCTTGAACTGTACCAAGCTTGGAGTGCTTCAGTCATGTCTTCCCGGTTCCTAAACGTCACAGCCATCAGGCGTGGTGACTCGATGGACGTAAGGTGTGACTGGAGGGGAAACCTAGAAATGCAAACAGCCATCGTGGTGTGAAGGGTTAGGCTACGCGATAGCCATCGCCACTGTTGCACATGGTGCTCTTGAGCTTCGTCCGGGTTGCCGCCAGTGAGTTCGGGTACACAGTGAATTACCACAGTGGCCTGCTCTTGGGTGCCTGTCATAGTCCTGGCTGCTGCTTGTACCGACCACGGCTTGTCATGCCTGATGAGAATCAGCGATGACAATTTGACAGATGGTCTTTGGGATGAAAGGATGATGTTTTCAGCAAGTCATACCGAGTCAAGAGTTACCATCATTGTAAGGGATTTACCTTATGAGACATTTTGGCCTTTAAAAAGACGGTATATTTTGGCTGGGACGTTGCACATTCCGAGGGTTGTGCAGTGTTTGGCTCACCTGCAGTGATCTACGCCGATGATGCGAAGATCTGATGGTCCATTAGGAGCGAAGAGGATTCGACTGAGCTTCAAAAGGACCTTACATCCATTGAGAAATGGGCAGTAAAAAGCGGTTCCAAACTCAACCAACCGAAGTGCCACGTCACGCATATTCTGCCTCACTTACTTAATCTATCTCGCCTATAATCTCTGTTTCCTTCCCCTTGCTTACACCACGGTCTTCTCTCGCAATCTTCACTACCAATTAACAAACTAAATTCATCTATATATTACTTAGTTCTGAAATTTTATTCATATTAGCATTAGAATTTTATCCTTATTATCCACATTGCAGCTAACTGATCTCAGGTCTGGTAATGTGACAGCTTCTCGTATCCAGAAACCCTACTGCCCTGAAACAAACATTTTCATTAAAATCCCGAGACATACAAACTCACAACCAACTGCCAACTGACTAGAATTAGACAGTCAAGTGGCTAGACCTCCATTCATTTGACACTACTGAACGCCTGGAACCGTACCGAAAGAACAAGAATCGAGCGCAAAGAAATCAGTCGGCTTACTCTAGCTCGTGAAAAAGATATTAGATATTGGATATTGAAGCTGGTTATGGACTTTTGTTTTGCTGCTTAAGTTTGACACTATTTCAAATGATTTTTGTTATTTCGTTAATTGTCAGTTAATTCCAGATACATTTGATAGGTTCGTCATTTCTGTATATTCAAAATTGTTTTTCTCGTTCATTGTAGCAAACGTCAGTAGTTTTACTTGATTTATTGAGTCATAGCTATAATATACTATTCAGGGATGTAGAAATGCAATAAACAAATTGTAAATTTAGTTCATAAGTTACACATTGTATTTCTTTGACGATGATTCGGTAGAAGGATGGCAGAAATACTCTTTTTAGGTCTTTCGTGCCACTTGGATGTTTGTAACACAAGAAGTTATTAGATAAGCTGAAAATGTTCTAGTCTTGGTGTTGGTCTAATATGAAGCGTGGGAATATTATACTTCTCCCTTCACCCAAGAAGAACGTATCTAAAGTTGGGTCGTAAAATCCTCTTGAGAATCTGATTTCGAACGATAGTAATAGAACCTCTACTCGCCGCCTTTACTTGTTGGAACATAGTCGTCTCAGAGGTAACCTTTCAACCCACAGAGTTCTAAACACTTGATAATCCACTGAGGAACTTATTTAGGCTCACCCCGAACATCCACTTTAGGGGAAATACCCGTATACCAAAACTGACAGCAGGCTCACCTCGTGCTCTTTATGAGAATTAGATTTCTGTAAATCGTTACCTGGCTGAGGTGGTAAGACTGGCTTCCCTGGAGTATTTCTACAAGACACTTGATATCATTCTAAGGACTCGGGAAAGTATTTCATTGAGATCTACTCTCTAAATCGATAACTATAGCTAGGATCCCACCTGGAGACATTAGTGATACATCGCTACTGGATATGTAAGCCTGTTAAGCGAAATCCTCTATTCATGTCAATAAACCGCTAACTATGACTCAAGAAGTTTTGTGGATCGTGAATGAGCTTTTTAAACTGAAAAGCTCTTCAACCGATAATCCATTAAACGGAGGTCAATAAACCGGCATTCCTGAAACCCGTATATTGTACTTACGAATATACTTCAAGACGATAACACCAAAGGAACTAATTTCATATTACCGTAGCACACATTTCTGGGTCACCTTAAAAACCCAATGTTACTCCTGAATGTGGCTCACCCATTAGACAGGAATAACTATAATCAGAGAAAAAAGATGGCTATAGGTCCTCAGCTAGAAGAGGCCTGGTTTCAAAGCCATAGTATAGCATTACTCTCATCACAGTCAAATAGTCGGCCTTTTACAGTGTTAATAACTATAATGTCTCAAACATAAATTATGTGGCTACTCAGCGACAAAAACCTAATGACTATTCGCAGTAGTTCGCTACATCAAGGGAGTGTAGACTCACACTTAAGACACAGTTTTCCATTTTCAAGGTACATTGTACATAAATGTTTATGGCCACTAGTTGCCAGGTGGTTAGGTTATGTTCGGATAGCATCTAAAAGGTCTTACAGTAGAAATGTTATTTACGTTATTGGTATTTACATATCTTTTCAAGGTAACATGTGCACACTACTACTATTTGCATCCTTTTACCTAAATGCTTTATCCTGGAAGTAAGGATGTGAAACATATTTCGAATAATGTTAAATACGAATAAGTTATGATCTATTCTGAATAAAACTCTCAAGGAACAGAAAAACACAAATGCACAATGCATGTTGACCACTTTTTACAGTAAACGTAAATTAGAAGCACCGAACGCCCTGAAACTGAAACGCCATTTAAATACAGAGCAATCTAAAATGATCTTTACAGCTAAACTGTCATATGCAAACTTTAACAGATTTCAGTACTTTTGAAAATAAGCATGTTTAGACCTTTATAATTGTCGAAAATGTTGTGAGGATTCATCACAAAGTAGAAGCCTCCCAGGATGATGATACATACTCTTTTCTGAAGTTCCAGTTGGTTCTAGGGACTGAATCTAATTTCCACACTTTTAAAAAGATTTGGAATTCATTGTCATTGACTGGTATTTAACGGTTCTTGAGAAGTTGGATTCGCTAATAATCCTGACTTAGTTAAGAAGATCTATAACCATCAAACCAGCAGACAACGCTCGTCTAAATAGCGATCCTAGGACAACATATCAGTTGAAATTATCCAGAGTCGGATATGATTCTTATACATGTTGTCTATTCGAACATTAATAGTAGATTCAGAGCTTGTGGGAAGTTGTTATCAGAGTTGATTACTTCGATTGCGTTTGTCAAGTTTTTCCACGTTCTCCATTCTTGTTTCACTTCGGCATCGATGAGCGCTTAGAAAAAACACTTTCATCATCTGACATTTCAGGAGGCGGACGTTTACCGGGAGATCCGCTTGTCGACTTAGAATGTGCCAATGACATAGTTATACTTGGTGAGGACGCTGACAAAATGCAGTCTTCTGACCACCTTAAGGAACAATGAAAGCATGTTTGGAATGCAATTCTGCCCTTCCGAATGCGAAATGTTGCTTAAGGATCGGCTTGCGTCGGGACCTGGACTAGTGATAGAGAGTGAAGTGGTTGTTGTGTAGAAAGCTGCTTCACTCATCTTGAGAGTCTCATTGATGCTGATGTCCTGGTGTGCGACGAAATATCAGCATGGATTCATAAGGCTTGATTTGCTTACACCGACCTGCGTTAGTAATGGTATAGGCACGATATCCGTCTACTAACCAAAGGACGAGTTTAATACGCAACAGTCCGCTCTGTCCTACTACACGGGTGTGGAACATGCCTACCGAGAATGAATGATATTTGAGGGTAACTAACATCTTCGAAGTAATGTTTGCGCATCCTGTGACAACTGAGTAAGCAAAGGCTGGGGTTGGGAAAATGGTACTAGGTAAGGATGAATTATCACTTGATTGTTTATCGTTTGAAATGATTCGGACTTGTTACGTATGCTCAACTACTGACTACCTCGTCGGGTTATGTTATCTCGAGCAAGGTTAGTCTGGAATAAAGCGAGGGGCGGACAAATCAAAACATTGCAGAAATCACTGAAGTCACTGACAGTTGAAATGAGACATGTTAGTAGGTGCTGACTACCAGATCGGGGTCCGCGAGGCAATCATAACCCATGGTTAGAGACCCCGAATAACATGGCTCAAAATCGCTTGGAGTGGTGCAGATCAATTCTTCCTTTACTTTCTGTCAAATTCTAATCTTCTGAATTCTCGTTGATAGTTTTTCTTTCGATGTTTATTTCACTGGATTATACTTCTCGAATTGTATATCCGATCACCAGTCTTTTCAATTGCCACTAATACTGTTATGACCTCCACGCCTATGGAATTCGAATTGACAGAACCATCTCTCCGTGTAATTGTGGTAGGGCAACTTGAAGTGATGTATGTACGTACGAAGTTCTACATTTTAACTAGCTGACTGACAGAATGTTGAGATAATTTCGTGTTTTTACTAGAACATGGTTTCAGTCTGAAAATGAGCGAGATTCTTTTATGGCAATATGGTCTATCTGGTTCCGCTACTGAGTGAAGTTATGGGTCGTTATTTCAGATGTTTATCTTCATACTTAAATCTTTTGTTTGCTAGAAAAAAATCGTTATCTGAGCATTTGTGCATCAGATGGTCGTCATTAACTTTTTAATGAGCAGCAATGCTATGAGACCAGCCGAAGTATCTTTCGATTTCATTTAGTCTACCTACTTGATCATTAAAGTCACCAGCCACTATTACTACATCAGAGCCCTTAACATTTTGGAGGAGTTCCGAATGCTTTCTGTAAACCTCACCTTTTACTCCATTTGAGATGCTGGCAGTGGGAGCGTAGGCAGAGTTAACGAAGAGGCAACGGCGAGTGTCCCTATCTTTTCAAGTTTTTCCGTCCGATTTAGTCCGGACAGTGAACAAGCAACTGTTTACTGGGGTCCAATCTAAGAGAACTAGTTATTCTCTAGGACGTAGTGCTATACTTAACACCAGCTAGACCACGGGAGGCAGCAGTGGAGCTTCCAGATAAGACAAAGCGACATTTCGTCATTTTGAAATTGTGAGGTCGAATGAACCACTGTACTCTGATCCTGTGTGCACGTTTTGGAGATGCAGCATACATCGATGGCACGAGATTCTAGAGCCCTAACTAAGAAAGCTGTTTGTCGTATTTGGAAAGAGATCTGAACACTAAAAGCTCCAACTTGTAGTTTAGATACGGATTCCGAGAGAACTAGAATAACAATTCGTATACTCAAATCATTAGCATTAAAGGCACTAGTTGCTAAGGATTTAGGAGAAGGGTTATTTGTAGAGACAAAAGATTGATTAAGGGATTTGCTTTTGAGCAAGTTGACCTCATGTACTTATGAGCTTATGAGGGGGGATGTCACTCCCCTGTTGCCCACACTATGGAGCGAAGGCCACTAAATATAATCCCATTAGCTTTAGAAATGGTCGCGGTGACAGTCCATTTCTGAAACAACCTCATGCAATTTTCAAATGAAAATTCGTTAGACTGCTTTCATTAGAGCAATAAATATCTATGTTTCCAGTTTGCATTTCATATCAATGTCTACTGTTCATTCGTGTAATAAGGAAGCTCTTCATGATAATCTTGGAAAATATCCTGAATCTCAGTCATAAATTTAATTCAATGAGTTTATGGTGTTGAGATTAGACAAACAGTACTGGATGGAAACAGCTAGTTGGATGAAGCTGTGAACCTTAATCCATGAGATAGTTAGAACATGCTTTGCGCATATTCGGTCTCTTTATCTAGACAAATAGTGATAGTTTTCATAGTGGTCAGTCAGAAACTTCCTAATGGTTGACAAAACCTAGCTACTGGACTGAGTTCATCATTGATGTAACCTGAAACAATTTGCTTTCTTACTTCCAGTATCCTTGATTTCTTATATCTGCTGTTGTTGTTGTACATCACAGTGACATATGCTGCAGTATGTTTTAAATAAGTCTCTTGTTAATAATGACTGATCCAGATTTAGGTTAATGATTATATTACCTTGGACTAAGTGCAACTGTCTAGTTGAATTTCGGATCTCACAATTCCTAAATAATTTCCATCCAAGTATCGTTTACAATGTACAGCTACTTAATTCAATGCAATTTTTGGCTCTGGCATTGAACTAAATGACAAGGTTAATTTCCAACTTTATCCGGTTGATTTTCATAACGTACTTCACTTTTTAAACAAATGAAATTATATCATAGTGAAACAATAAAGAATCTTGATTTGTCACATTGAAACTCATTAACATTTATTTGTGCGATAGAAATAAATGTGTTTGTTTCTCTCATTCTCTCTCTCTCTCTCTGTTCACACATCATTGATATTTCTAATTTAACCAATAGTAGAGAATAGTAATCTCAACATTTCTTATATACAATAGCTTCTTGTAGACAAAAAGAAAATATAAAATCAAACCTATAAAAAGCATTCATTATCTCATTTCATTCATGTTTCAGATAAATCCTGGAGCTCAATGAACAAAGATTTATATGGTAGGTCAGCTATGCATCATAACCACTTACTTACATGACTGTGATATTTTGTATTGTTAATTAATGACTGGGTTCTTTTATTTATCATTAAAATTTTGATTAGTTTTGCCGACAAATGACATGTGTCTATAGTATATAATTAGTAGGAGAGAGAAATTGAGAATGTTTGAATTTTTTTTTGAGTTAACAATAAATTTCATATTTATGCGAACTTTAACATACTTTTATCAGTATAAGACAAGTTGAATATATTGTTTGATAAAACATAGATTTACTTTTCGTAATTGCAGAGTTATTTTCAAAATGATTACTTTCTCACTTTATATATACATATATATATATATATATATATATATATATATATATATTCCTTAATTATACAACCAGCGAAAGCACTGTAGAGCTGTTTCATAAAATTGCGATACTCAGTCCATGAGTTTATCATTGACAGAACTCATAACCTTTAGCTTCTTTTGAGAGCAGCTAACTTTTAGAACACTAAGCTGTGATCTAGTAGTTTACACTATATTACTTTATTTCTGCAGTACTGAAAGCAGAATTTCATAATTTCGTTTATTACCTGTGATCATCAGTATTTACATATCATTGTAGTAAAAATGTTGTCTTCAATCATTCAAAGTTGCTTAAGATTCATGTTACAGTTTATTAAACCTTACAACATGTAAATTCCAAAAAGTTGAAACAATTTATTAAGTAAAATTATGTTTGGTTATCGTGTATATGTGGATTTGCTATTCTTTCAAATCAGTTGAATATAGTTAGTGTACATTGTTCAATGCGAATAATTATTATTGATTGTTTAAAAAAAGTTACTTGATGCAGCAAACTTACTTTGCTTGAAATTTATTTAGAATCATTTTCAACGTTTAGCGATGTTTATTTCTTAGTTTAAAGTGCTTTGAGAGAACCTGGTACTAAAAGACCTTGATATTCTTGTTCTTCTTTAATTCATCCTTATGTAATTTTTTTTGATTTTGTGCCAACATTCAACTCACTCGTTAATATGTTCTCACTTATTATTACCTAATATTCAATTTTGACAATTTAACTGACTGATCTGAGTTAGATACTAACACCATTTGATGCCGACATAGTGGTCCAGAGGTTAGGCATTTGCTAGCAAGACCGAAGGTCCTGGGTTCGAATCCTTCGAGGTGCAGGAGTTGTGGATACACTCACTGCTAATGAGTCCCATGTCAGGATAAAATGGCGGTTCAAGGCTTCCACGTTTCTAATGGTGGTCTAACAATAATTGATTGGTGATCTCAATGTGTTACATCACTAATCTCCATAACTGTAACTGGAAAAAATTTAACCTAATAAATCAGTACTTTGTCGGATAACTTTTAAAACTTTCTCTGCTGTCACCTATTCATTTTCACACGGTAGACTTAAGTAAAATCGGAATTTTATTCATAATAAATTATAAATTAAACTGAGCAATAATGAGTGTAACTGGCTTAGAAATTTCCGATCAAAGTAATGTAATATGAACTCTATAGTTCAAGGTCGTCTTTATCACCTTTATAATATATTGCTAGAAAAAAAGTATGTTCTTATTGAATCTTGTTTCGTTGAACATTCTAGGAATTTTCAAGTACTGATTCAGATTTAAAATCATCACAGTCAACTATTAGTATGCTTTATGCGATCAAAAATTAGTATTTTTCCTTCACATTTTTCTGCTTTCATTGATTCTACTTTGATAAAAATAATGAAGTTATTTTTCTTCAAGATTTTTTAATTAGTATGGTTTTGTAAGCCTAAACACGTCTAATAGTATTCTTTTATACTGAAGAGGTAGATCGTACTTCAACTTCACACAGTCAATCATTTCTTAATCCGTACATGTGAAAGTAATGATTGCTCAGTGCTTGTGACCAATTATTGTCTTCTTTGGCCAACTTATTAACATGACGAAAGGCAAAGTAGTGAATTGTATTCTTTGTTTTTCCATGAGAAAGTAGATATCATACTCTTGTTTAAAATAGCGTCAATTAAAAAAAATGTTAGCCGTTTGTACGGCAGTGTTGCTTAGTTTTCACTGGTAATCAGTGATCAAAATAAGAACTAGAAAAAAACAAATCACGGAATTATTTATAGCATCGATGAGTTTCTGATTTTTTGAAAATATTTTTATACACAAATTTTTGTTTACTTCAGCCAGCCGTCGGAGATGTTCGACGGAGGTATTCAACTAAATAATATTTTGCTACTACCTTTCAGAATGTAAGCTTGGTTCTATGAGTTTAGCTTTATGACGGATTCTTAAGTTACTTATTCTTCTTCCTATCTCACCTGTTTTCACTGTCGGTCATTAAAATAAATCCTCACATCATAAACAATAATGTTGATGAAAACAACTAAGTCATGTTTTTTCCTTGGTACTTGTTTGTCAATTTTTTTTCATGCAATGATTGAAAGAAGGATTTATATTACACACCTAAGGAAAGTTAAGTAAAACTAAAAAGCGAATTGCTAATGACAAGCAATCTCTTTTGCGCTGATAAAAACGGAATTTCTCTTCTTTTAAAAAAGAAAGACATTATTGTTTGTAGTCAATCTGTGACAGTGATGTGACCGGTTCGCTCTGTGATTTGATATACAATAATGCTTTATTGGAAGAAATTATGTAATTAATTTGGGCGTTCTAGAGTTTTTAGTTTTCACAATGTCTTGTCCAGATTTTAGGATTATCTGTATTTAAAACACTATTATTGTAAACAAGATAATGACTTCACAATCTCATATTATTTGATCTTCTATCTCCATGGCGGAGTATGATTGTTTGGAGGAGATATTGATCTACTCTATCTATACTAGTATTTTTGTTCGAAATATGGTTTATATATTCAAATATGTAATGGATTGTGGTGAATAATGCTCTATATTCTTTCTCTCTTCAATCATTGCTCTACTTACTTACGCCTGTTACCCACAATAAAGCACGAGAAGCAGACCAGTTTTCTCCAACCTACTCTGTCCTGGGCTTCTCTTCCCAGTTCTGTACAATTCTCGTTCACTCTTCTCATATATTTCTCTATTTCCCCGCAGAGTGTGTTTCTTGGCCTTCCTCTTTTCCTTTTATCTTGAGGGTTCCAAGTGAGGGCTCTCTTCAATCATTATAGAGCGTAAACTTAAACGTAGGTATTGTTGGCTCGCTACCTTCCCCCTGATTTCCACTCTCAATGTATTAAAAAGTTGGTTTTTACTATATCCGTCAACATTCGCTCTGTCGATTCGATCTTACGTGTTTGGCAACTATCGATTCATTACAGTGGTTAGATTCGCTAGTCACCTTGACCTTTTGAAGAGCGATCGCCTGATAATTTCGTGTGAATACAGTAATTATCCCGTCACCAATCAAGAACACGAAATGAGACTACAAAACTTCAAATATGACTGTTAGGTGCGGAATATATATATCAAGATTGAAGGTATTTAGCAGTAGATATCCTCACAGATTTCGTGTTGTTTTATGAAGACAAAAGGTGAACAAAGTTATAATAAAGCCGAAGTATGCATGGAAACGAATAAATCAGTCAAATGCATTGAATGAAGTCGTTGGATCATGGATGATAGTTAAAAAAAATTTTTCTGACTGTCAAGAAGTGCAACCTAGTCAAATACTCACAAGACACCGGCTCATTAAATTACTGACTGTTTGAAAGACTAATGAAAAATGATGATACCTTAGTTTTAATAAGCGCTAGTAGTTCAATTGTCTTTCTTCTTCTAAATCTCCAAAGTTTCAGTACTCTTTCCATTTCGATTATTGTCATGTATATCGTTTGATTGCTTCTTGTTATCTTCCTTTTCGTGCTGCGTGTCCAAAGTACGGGAAAATTAGATGTTATTAGTTTACAATTTTACCTGCTCTTGTTTCTAGACATAAAATGTTTTGAAAAGTATCGTGCCAAAAACCGACAGAGAAATTCAAATATCTGGCTTCTATCTGACGTTTATGCTGTTGATGCTGTCCAGAAGGACGACGAAAGCTTTGAGATTAGACCATTCAGCTATGTAAACGAAATTACACCGACTCATCGTACGAGTTAAGCATTAAGACTGTAATTTCCCAAAGAGCTACTGGTGACCACTAGTCACTTTAACAGTATTCAATAAATGCAAGATTTGATATAAATGTTAATAGTAGGTGTTGAAGTAAGATTTCATGGTGAGAAAAGCATTGTGTATTCTTTTAAAAATCATGTAGTCTAATTCGAAACAATTGCACATTAACAATGCATTCTTATAACACTCTAACAATAAAATCATGACAAGTGTAAGGTAGAATACATAGAATTTCTCTCTCGAAATCTATTCAGACACCTGTTAATTCATGTGACGGTGGTCTATTGAAAATCTTCTCCCGCATTTCTTACGGTAAAAATTCGTCAGTGCTAATAATTGATTCAACGGTCAAGTAATAAGGCTTTTATTTTCGTTTTTCTGAAATAATCGTCATTTGATCACAATTTATTCGTTGGTCGGTCACACAATAACCAACCTAGTTTAAATACTTCCAACACCACTACTGCTAGCATTTATTGAGTTCGATTTCTGAAAGGGGTCGTTAATAATAATAATAATAATCAATCTATTAAAATGAACTCTTCGAATCAAAGACAAAACGAAACTAATTCGATTCAAATGTATCATTTTCATACAATAGAATCTATCTATTCAATCAAACAAAAAGATTTTTAATTCACAAATTTGTGATTCACTAATGGTAAATGGTGAACGAGTGTACCGCATTAAATATTTTATAGGTTTTGAAGTGATCTAAATGTAAATTGATCCAAAAATATTCTCAACTGCCATTTGAATCTACGAAAGAAAGAAAGAAAGAATATAAACAGTTGAATCTTAAGTGTTGCAGATGGCCTAATAAACCTGCATGCAGCATTAGCTATACAAATGGAGATAAACTCACACAATAAATAAATGCTTCAGATGAACATGATTTATTCAGG